GACTTATGATGCGCAAAAGAATATGATGAACTCATAGAAAATGCTGGGTTACCTTGGAGTATTCCTCGCAAATTGTTTAATCAGGTTGGCAGTTTGTGGGTCTTGGCACATATCCAGTGGGGTTTTACCTTCGTTGTTGTAAAAGTTAATATCTGCCCCATGAAGAGCTAAGTATACAGCGATGGCAGAGCCAGTGTGCTGGTCTGTGCCGCTGGCTGGGACGTCGACCCCTAGTCCTTGTAAGAGCTAAAATGAAAAGAATGATTTGACACAACTATTAGTCGCTTGTGTTATAGGAACTTCTACGTAAAACAAAAAGACCGAAAAAAAGTTGACCGAAACAAAAAGTAAATTATCATATCGGTGTCGCAAATAAAAAAAAAATTTTTTTTTGGTTTATTCTTTCTTTATTTAACTATTTTACGATAAAATTATTTTCAACGTTCCTTGCCACTTGTCAGATATTAACGTAGAAGTGGCCTAGAATGAAATTCTCCGTGGTAAAGTGGTAGTGTATCGCGAAACATGACGTTCAAAGGTTTGATTGCTTTTGCGGATAACTCTGAGTTTGTTATCAACTGAAACTATCTCATCTCGGCGTCTTTTGATTGAATAAACGTACCCCTCTTAAGCCACTACTCCCAACAGCTTGATGTATGACAGCCAAGTGCAAAGGGGTGTCTCCATCTTCGTCTGCAGCATTTATATCGGCGCCATGTTCAATCAATAGTTCTATCATGCTGGTGTAAGCTTCAGAGACAGCAAGAGCCAGGGCCGTCTGTCTCTTTCTATTGCGTAGATTGATGTCACAGTGGCCCTATTATTGAACAAGCAAGACAAAGTATTTGTGACGCGACCATAAATAGCAATCTTCGCAGCAAGTCCAAAACTATAGTAAAGACACCAAACACACTCTTGCACCGTTCCACAACACCACCCAGAAGACACAATAAGCATCTACACAGTGAACAAAGATTTTCAGCTTTATACTTTATCCTCTTATCACGATGAACAAGTACATACCGACAACAGCAGAACCTTTGCGATTTCTAAGTGGTTATTGAAGGCAGCTAGATGAAGGGCACTAAATCCGTCTTCTTTTGGAATCTCAATGAGGCCAGGGAATTTCCTTGCGATTTTTTCAACAGCACTGGTAAATGAAATGAAATAAAATAATAGTAATATGCTGGTATGGCGCCGATTTGCTGGTATGGCAAAGACCACGACACAGCGCTGGGGACTCCGATCCCTACAGTTTGCGATTAGCCTTAAGATTCTCTTACGTCTCTTAAAAAGCAAAGCCAACGGTTTAAACTCCGCTTCATAATTGAAAGTCTAACCATTTAAAATCAGCGTAAAGCCAGCATATATTACTTTGAGAGCTCGGTTATCAGTCTGTTGTGAGCCTCGAACCCCAAAGTGAGTGCAAAAATGGCGGGCATCGTAAATAAGGCTAATTAACTATCAAGTACAGTAACTTACCTTTTATTTCCTTTCATGCAAGCTTGATGAAGGGGGTTGAACCCTCTGCCATTAGAAACAGTGATATCCAGCCTTTGGTAATTGAGAATGAGATCTATAATTCCATTCTTTTCTTTGGAGATAGCGTCGTGTAGAGCTGTATCACCGGCCAAATCCTGTAGATCAAAAGGAGAAGTTAACAACCATTCGTGTACGCTTGATACTGAGTTTTAACTGTCCGAGTTAATTAAGCCATGACAATTCGGCCCCAAGTGGTTTAGGACCGACTTGTTTGTAAACTACTCGCTAATAAGATGTTTTATCAATGTAAATGCATTTCAAATGAAAGCCAGCATAATGCAAACGACTTACCTGACAGTTGACGTCGCAGTGTCTTGACGACAGCAGAGCCCTAACACCAGCTTCGTTTCCTTGATTGACAGCTAAGTGTAGCGGCGTGCTTTTGTTTTTGTTATCACAAACATTGACGTTTGTTCCTGTGGCTAACATGGCTGTCACAGCCTGGCCACTTTTATCTCTGTATTTAAATTCAATGACCAATCAAAACAAGATAAATATGACAGGAAGCCAAGGGGAACTCGAAGAAAAAAAACAAGCAAATTGGCTGAAGTGCGGAAAAAGGAGAATGGCCAAGAACAAATGGTTTGCCCTCTGATTGGTTGATAGGATGGCGCGATTTTACGTAGCAAAGACACAGTGAAGTTAAGTAAAACCTAAACAAAGAAAAGCAAAACTAAAGCAATCCTGATTTCTTTCGGCATTCAATTGAAACTACAGAATATAAACGTAAGAATATCGGCGAATGTGATGCAGATGGTTTGATTTTTTTTAACGAAGAATGAATCGTGAACTATTGAGAAAGCAACAAACTTACCCATAAGCCGCATGATGCAACGCTGAGTAATCCTGTTCGTCCTAACACCACAAAAGGGAAGAGAGATATTAAAAGTGTATTAACCCGTCAAAAGCGTGCAACAAAATCAACATCTTCAGGAGTCGTCATGAAACCCAACCATTCGGATTCTCCGCTCCGATGCTCTACCACTGACCTACAGAGATCTCCAGGCTAAGCTAAGCCATAACCGTGGTCATACACGACACTTATCTTGCACTTGCTACGATCAACGATGTCAAAAGCCTCATGAGTAAAGAGAATAGCCGAGCTTAAGCTAATTTCGTACTTGGGCGCTCAATTATCGAGGCCACAAATACCTTAAAATGCAAAGATATCAAAAGATGTCGAACCTGAGCTTGTCTTGAGGGCTAACGCTCAAAACGTCAAATTTGACACTCCTAACTGTGGCCAATTTTCGTTATCAACTCGTTGATATTTTATACTCTCCCACCGATGCGGCATCACAGTTTCTTTAACTTTAACAGTTTTTTTTTTAACCCTTAAACTCCCAGAAGTGATTAACATGTAACCTCTCCTTATGATATCCGTACATTATCCAGCAAACATGCAATGAGAATTGTCAAACTTATCAGGTAGAGGTTGGTGGTCCTGGTCTAACTCCTAGCAGCTAGAGGGGAGAATTAAATAATCAGATCCTGGGAGGTAAAGGGTCAAGGCAATATGTATGTATCATAAAATGCTAACCTTGACATCTTTGTCAGCGCCTTTGTCTACAAGGTATTTAACAATTTCAGTTCGACCTTGATGACAAGCTACATGCAGAGAGGTTTTGCCTGCTCTTTTATGATTGATCTACGAATGGAGAAAAGAATATCAAACTTGCGCTCGTAATTGTTTATCATAGCTGCTTGCGAATTTACAGTCCGTTTGTCATGTGATTAAACCAATACGCTGATTACGTCACCTTATCGGGATTTGCTTCCAGGATTTCCCGGACTTCCTGTAGGTTTCCATTTGATGAAGCGTTCACTAATCTGTCTCCAGGATCACTTCCACTTTTCATAGTCGCCTCTACTAACATCATCTTAAGAAGGTCCTGTAGCTCCGTTAGTTTGTCTGCTTCAGAAAATAAATCGGAAAGAAAAAGTAGTTCAGAAACTAGTTATAAAGTCGTAAAACCCAAAGCCTAGTAATAACAACGGCCAACAAGTTTTAAGGAAAAGTGAGCTCTTTGACCGTAAGTAAAAGCTTTGCAGACAAGAGTTTTCATTTCCCTTTGTTCAGTAGAACATTTACAGAAACCAAACTCACTTTTAATTTTTGAAATTCATATTTGGGTGTGCATTTTTCTAACCTGGAGATCCCGTTGCAACTTCGCCCCGTCGCGCCGTAGCCTCCCCTCCCGTCAGATCCTCCAGAGCTGCTGGGTTGAACAGCCAGAGATCCGTTCCTACCACAACTACAACATCACCATCGCTGTCCACCTCTAAGATCTTTCCCTCTTTACCCAAAGCCTACAATATTAAATAAACAACTGTAAGTCTCGAGTCCTCAAAACAATAGTTAACCACAGCAAACATTCAAGCGGATCGAAAAGCTGACAAGGACGATTTATTTAGCACAATCGATGGAAGGGACCTGAGACTAGTTTGGCCGATCCCGGTTTTAGTTTGGAAGTTAGTTTCAGTAAAGTGGTGTATTGTTATTCCTACGTTCCAATTATTACATTTAAAGTCTTGTAAAAAATACCCACCGCCGTCATAGACTCATTCCAGCCACCGTGCCCCTGCTGTAACCTTTGTACTTCTTGCTTATTTTTCAACACTCTTACTTTATCTCCAGCCTGGAAAGTCGGCAACTACAACAAAAAAAAATATAATTATTTTGAGACTAATTTGTTAATACTACTGGTACTCAGCACCTGAGACAACATGCTATGACGCTTAAAGGTATCACCAATACAAAACTGAAAGAAAATAACAGAGGACCTTTATATGACTTTCTTTTTCTGGACACATGTTTTCATCGTTTCGGCATTTCATTACAAAAAAAATGAGATTACGGATCTTCAGACGTCCATGTGAGCCACAAAATTGTCAAACGTGTACTCTATATTTGTTCGCACGTCATCAATCCCAAATATCGCGAACTTAGCCTAGGCTTGTTCCGCCAGCTTTTGCTTGCATTAGTATATCACTGAAATTTAAACCAGACAGAGTTTAACCCTTAACTCCCCACTATCTCCAGATTCGTCCGCTTTCTCGGCCGTTTGGGCAAAAACATGATTTTCCGAAGAGCAGCTAGCTGATCTTTTACCATATGAGATAGTCCTAGATTCCATCGACTTAAACTTATTCTCTAATCACACCAAAGCTAAAACGTATTTTAAAAAGCCTTTTGCCAAACACTGTTTGAAAATTTTGTATATATCAAGGCTGCTTAAACTGATGTTTGTGGACTTAAAAGTTAGCACAATGAAAATAGAAAGTTAGTGATTTCGTGAATACTTTGTAAAATTTAGTCAGTCAGTTTTGTATAACTGATTTTTATTTAGTAAAATTGGTTTAATGGAACATGTCTTGCTTGTGTGAATGGGGAATTTATCATGTAGTTACCTTAGTGACTGCATCTGGATGGAATACCCATGACTGGAGCCCATACCTGATGTGGACATCACCATCATCGTCTATTTTATGTATTTTCCCCACCTTTCCTATGCACTGAGTAAATAGATAATCAAACCACTCAGAAAAATCATATCAACACTGCAATACATTATTTTATTGACCTCTCTCCATGAGGGCTTTACAGGGACAATACAATTATAATAAAAAAAAGTATATATAACTAAAACTAAATTAATTAAAAACAAATGAAATTGCATAGAGTATTTACAGCAAGACCATAATCATATTAAAGGAAATATTACAATCTTACCTGTCCCATACCATCGACCCAGCCGCCATGTCCTTGGGACATTGCTTTAAGCACCTCCACATCAAGGTTTACAATGACTCTGTCTCCAATCCTCAATCGATTTCTGTTTCTCTGGAGCCGTTTATCACCAACTCTCCCTAGACAATCACGATAGTAGTGTGGGCCATTTCCTGGAGTTGTACATTTGAGGTCAACCTTAAACATGACATATCCAGCAATTATTAGGATACAGCTCCAAAGAAATGAGAAATTCCTCATATTTAAACATTTCAAATGGTAGATCACAACTCCATGCAGTCTGGCTTTGAATCTAAAAGTATAGAACCTAGCTACCATGATAATATTAATAACCTATTGCAAAAATGCATTAAAGAAGGGTAGCATAGATTCTTAGATTCATTTTGGCATAAAAATGCACCCCCCCCCCTCCCCCCAGCTGTACATCACTAAATCAGTGTAATGTCCGATTAAGTTTTAAAGCACCACAGGAAAAGCACACCACCAGCAAGTCAATTGTAAGTCCTAGTGCAGATGGAAAGGAATGGAAAGAAATTTATAGTAACTCAGCCCTTTAACTCCCAGAAGTGATTAACAAGTAAATTTTTCCTATAATATCCATGCATCATCTTGAAAACAAGTAATGTGAATACTGAAACTTATCATATAGAAGTTGTTGTCTTGATCTAATGCCAAATTCTCCTAACTAATTCAAAAGGAAATGTATAACAGCTAGAGGAGAGAATTAACAATCAGATGTTGGGTGTTGGGAGTTAAAGGGTTAAAGACATTTTGATTACCTTAATACATTAACTTAGGTAACATGTTTTTTTTTAAAACATTATACTTTGCCAGACTTTTAGTCAGGGTGATCAGGTAAGGGCAAAGTGAACCCACTCTTTTCTGGCCCTCGTGCAATCACTGGTTCTTGGGGCTATTACTACAAGTCAAACAATAGTTTTTCCCTGACCAAAAGCCTATCAAAGACTAAAAGGCTGAATAATCCTTACTGATCCTTGGTATCCTGCTCGGTATGTGTTATTCCTAAGTATATTCCAGATGACTTTTGCTCCTGCCCTCTCCACATTACTCCAAGCAGTGATCTCAGTCAATGTACCAATCCTACCACTGCCCCCATCTTGGTCATCCCATTTCCAGTCTCTTCCTCGAGTAACCTTAGCTCCAGAAAAAAATCCCTTGGATTGTACCTTAACAGCACCAGCACGCTTACCAGCAGGTATTCTTGAAAAAATAAAAGTGAACAAGATAAGAGAGATGGTGAACTTTAGGTTAAGACTTACAAGAATATTACTGGTAGACTCCAAGTCAGAGTTTATCCCAGTTTTCATAGCAGAAGGGAATTAGGACATTCTTGTAATGAGCACTATCCCTTCACCATTGGATGCTAGTCCATCATGTAAAACCTTGCTCAAATTTCAAGCTTCCCTGAAGGTTAACTGGCCATGGGTGTCATTTACACAACTTTTGGGTGAGTGACACAATCATGGCAAACAGTCTTGCCTGAAAATACATTTATATCTGTACCACTATGACCATTCCTGAGCTCCAACAAGGATTTTTTTCATAAACAATCCATCAAATTACTTTTAGAAATAAGAATTACTAAGATAACAAATGTCCCAACATGTTATCATTAGTATCATCATCAGTCTTATTATCCTAGTCGACAAAACAGTTCTTATTCCAAATTCAGAACTTACAACATCAGTCATAAAGTATACTTCAAGTAGGGGCTCTCAGGGAAGGGAGGGTAAAGGGAAAAATGGAGGAAAGGAAAAAGACAAAGTATGATTAAAACTTTAAAATAGATGAGGGAACAAGAGGCAACTAGAGAGCTGAGGAGAAAGAGTGATGCAGGGGAAACTTACCCATTTTGTTGAGGAACTTGATCAAATCGCAAAAATTCATGCTGCATATCATGAACATCATTTCCAAAACAAGTCGAACACAAATCATAGTTTGGACAGTTAGCACATTTGTATCGTATTCCAGCGAGGGGGGCTTGCTTACAACCATCACATGTAACATGAGGGTGCTTTAAACCTGTTAAACGGCAGTACAAGTATAATAATTCAAATCGTTGCGTCTCAATTACTTAAGTATCCTCTACTTGTTAGTGATGCTTTCGAAAGACCTTGCAATGAAACCTAATATTAAGCAATATGCAGCCTTCATAATTAATTTAACTTACAAAGAAAGTTACTGAACAAATGTGAGTCAAATATCACTCACTTGAGTTATTTTCATTACTATCCCTTTACAATTGTTTTCCTGTAGTATGCAAGATGCTTAAATTTGCCTTCACCACAAGAAAACTCACATTTATTACACAAAAAAACGTTCGTAATAAACTTTAGTATGTGGAATATACAAATTCAAAGATCTAGGACTGAGGATATTATGATCAACAACTTCTTCAGTCATTTGTTTGGACAAAAATATGGTCGATGGTTACTTGTGATCTCGATTCCGCCTTCAAGTCGTAGTATTCGTGAAGTGGAGAACGTTTATCTCACGTAGCCCTTAAATTCGATCGAATATTGGCCTTCGAATCCTCTTTTACAAAGGGGATCGACGAATATCAGATAGAATTCCGGGTCTGATTGATGTTGCAACACTTTCAAAAATATAAACAACATCGTTCAACTCGCTCTAGCATAGCATGGCAAGTTGTTAATCCACGTCTTTCTCTTTAACTTTCGCATGTATTTCTGAATTCTTACATCAATTAATAATTCACTTGCCAGTTTGAGCGCTGTCGAAGATTCGTAGATCATACTTTCCAGAATATCCTGCCCGATAGTTCGCCTGCCTTCCAGAATCCCAATACACCAAAACAGTGTCTTCAGGGAAGTTTCCGTCGCCGCCAAGATGGACGACTGTGCCAACATTTCCCTCGCCTCCGTCTTGATCACCCCACATCCAATCGGGGCCACGAACAACGCGTAAACCAACCTCCATTGCTTGCTTTATTTCAGGGTCTGAAACCCATCCACGAGGTCCGATCACAAAACATTTAAGTAACCGCCATTTCGGAAACGAAAGCTATCGAATGTTGAGACACTACGAGACTATTAAAATTGCATATCAATAAGAAGACTGCGTGACAGCGACGTTGACTTCCGGGAAAATTCCCTGGTGTGATGTTTCGAAATCTTTGTGTCGAGGCTAACTATGCAGAGAAATACTCTTTCCTCGAAAGTTACTTGTGTTGTTGAGACAAATCGTTGTTCCTTTATTTATTTATTTATTTATTTATTTTTTGATTGATTGTGCACTTTATCTAGGCCAAAGTCAGATTACTAGCCTTGTCCACTGTAAGGAGGATTAGAATTAACTCAGCTACATTGATTAGTTATCAAACACAGTAAGGACGCAAGTTGCTAAAATAGCCTCAAACTAGGAATTAATAAAGATGCCTAATTTATGCTGTAAAACCTTGTTGCCTGTCTACAAAGGAGAAGATCAAAACAATAAGAGAACTGAAGAGGGACAGAATAAAGAGGAAAATGATGAATAGAGGAGGGAAGGACTGAACATGTGGCGACGAAGAAAGATCAACAATGAACATGTGGCTTCGTAGCTCAGTTGCTAACAGCGTCCAACTGGGAGGCACGGATTTGAATCCTGCAGAAGGGTAAATTTTCAGGCCTATTTTCAGCGATTGCTAAAATTGCTGTCCCCTTTACTTGCGTGGATTATCTCTTTGCTTGATTTTCATCCGCACGTCGAGGGAAATCATGATTTCATTACAATTTTTGAACGGGAAAGAGAAACCAGGAAGTCAGTAGTTTATCGTAATTGGGATATTCACCGAGTTATTTTTATATATTAGAAAGCCAGTAATGTCTTTTGGGATACTTCTAGTCCACACAGGGTTTCGATACAGAATACCAGTTAGTGATTTGTTTATTTGGCTTGCCTTCATCACTTTCTTGCCCTTTGCTCATCGTTGTTCTACAAAATTCAGTGTAACCCCGATCATATCGATCGTATCCGAGGACTTCCGTGGATGTTTCGAATAGTTTCGAAGACATGGCCAAGAACCGTTTGACATGACCTCGTCCCTATTTCTCTCCTTTCTAAAAATGTGGAGGTTTCGTGGAAAGCACGCTCATCTGTACAGCCATCTGAAACTATTTTTATTTGTTTCCACTTCATGTACCTCATGAAAATACGTAGTTAAGTGCGTTTAAAATGTTTTTAAATTTCTTTGCGTCCTTTATAAAACAGCAACGTGAAATGACCCAATTTTGCGTTGTCAGGAGAACGTGAACGGCGATGGCTAATTTTTTTCATTTCTTTTTTTGATTTACTGCTGTGTTTCGCATTCAGTTTCGAGGCAGTTTTGATCGCAGAAAAGAAACTAAATGACTTTAGCAGTTCGGGCCATAACCATTTCTGGATATCGGTTTCGAGCTTTGTGATTGGATGAGATCAAAACCAAAACAAAGCAAATTTGGCCGAGAGGTGCTGGAAACAAGAA